TCTCTCCTGCCCGGGCTGGCTTTGAACCGCGATCCTCAGATCTCAGCCTCCTGAGTAGCTAGGATTACAGGCGTGAGCCACCAGCACCTGGCAAGACTTTTTCTTTTATGTTCATTCCTTCACATGGAATTCTACCTCACAAAGATTCCAAAGAGAAATGTAAACTGCACTCCTACACTCGAGTCTTAAACCCACAGACCCATGCATCTGGGAGGCTGAGGCAGGAGGATCACACATTAGGAGTGGGCTAAGGAGGAAGATCATCAAAAAGCAAAACAAAGCAAACAGAAAACCAGAAGTGACCCAAAGCATATATGCATCTCACTAAAGAGCAGCATGTGTTTATTATGCCTACACTCAACTCTGAGTGCTTTTTTTTTTTGGCTTGGGGCTTGAACTTGAGACTTCTGGCTCTAGCTCAGCTTCTTCTTCTTTTTTTTTTAATAATTAGTGAGATTAAGTGATTACATAAATTTCATAGTATTGTGGGATAGTGATACAAACACATTTTAACCTTCACAAGGCGAATTGTCATTATCATGGTCTATCATGTTTGTGAATTCTATGAGCTTTGACAATACAACTATTTCTTCCACATGGGGTGATATGTACATTCCTTTCCTTTTGCTTAGTGTCAGCTGTTCCCTCTTTCCCTGTCCTTCCCTCCCTCCCATTGCTGCCATTGAGTTGCTTAGTTCGTTTTTATCAAATGTCCAGTGCAGCTGATGGGCCCCTCTGTTGTATATTTTCCCATTTCCCTCTGATCCTGTCTAGCTCAGCTTTTTAGATCACAGCTGATGTTCTACCACTTGTGTTACGCCTCCACATCCTGCATTTTGCTGGTTATTTGAACATAGAGTGTTTAGGATTTCTCAGATCTCAGCCTTCTGAGTAGCTAGGATTACAGGCTTGAGCTACTGGGACCCAGTAATATGCACCATTATTGTAGCTAATAAGTCTGCTTAAATTTCCCATCTGTCTTATTCTTAAGTTCTTTTCTGTGGCAGAGTCAAGGATCCTCAGGTGGCCTGGTTAGAGATACCCCTTTCTTCTCTTAGAGATAGAGCTAAGTGTTTAGAACCACCTTGGGCATCACAGGGAGATGCTACCACTCTCACTTAAAGAATGTTATACAGCAAGGAGCAGGGAGCAAATGGAAGAAGGGAAGGGGGATGGTTGGCACTAGCCACTCTGAGGTAAGAAGCTGAGAGGCATAGCCTCTACCCTAGGTCCGACTGAGAGGGAAAGCTATAGGAACATAAGAATAGGGATCGCAGGGTATGGAGCACACCTGATTACTGACAGTTCTGTACAAAAGCTCAACCAAGTGGGCAGAGCAGAGTGAGACTTTTGGTCTGTCTCCATCGAGTCAGGGTTGGGCTGCACCCCAGAAGAGGGGGATAAAAGAGTACAGAGCTGTGGGTAGGAGGTTAGGAGCCTGCTGGCTGAAGCCTGGCAAGGCCCACGCGTGTATGGGGAGCTGCTGCAGTGGGGGTGGCAGGAGGCCATCTATCACACCACGACAGGAGGGGCATCAGCTGGGGCCCAAGCCCTGGCACTGTCTGCTGTTGATCCCAGGATGTAGAAGAGTGGGTTGGCTTTCTACCTGGGAGTGCCTGGAGGAGGAAATGACAGGGAACAGAATTTTCTGGAGCTGGTGGAACCAGAGGTCCCCTGAGGTATATGTGTGCATGCGTGAGCATGTGTTTGTGTGTGTAGGAATGGGAGGTTCTCAAGAAGACATAGCTACACTGAATAGCCTACAGGCTTGTCTGACCTTAGACTAAATCATAGCAGACAAAGTCAAAGTTATCTTTGGCTATCTTTAGTCCACCCCCCACCCCCGCTTTTTATTTCTGTGGCTCTGGGGCTTGAACTTAGGTCCTCAAGCTCACTGAATTTGCTTGCTCACTAAGAGCTGGCACTCTACCATTTGAGCCATGTTTAGGCTGGTTTAGGCTGGAGATGGAGTCTTACTGACTTTTCTGCCTATGCTCACTTCAAATCTTTTTTTTTTTTTTTTTGCCAGTCCTAGGGACTGAACTTGGGGCCTGGGTACTGTTCCTGAGCTGCTTTTTGCTCAGGCTAGTGCTCTATCTCGAATCACAGTAACCCTTCCAGCTTTTTCTATGTATGTGGTACTGAGGAATTGAGCCCAGGCCCTCATTCATGCTAGGCAAGCACTATACCACTATCACTTCAAATCTTCACCCTCTGTCTCTCAGCTTTCTGTGTGGAGAGCTAGGATTACCGGTGTGAGCTACTGGCACCTGGCTAGGCTTATTCATTTTAATTTGTGAAGTCAGGTTGTGAGTAAAATGCCTTGCTTTCTTTTTTTTGTCTTTTCTTTTTTGGTACTGGGGATCGAACCCAGGATGTTGCACTTGCTAGGCAAGCACTTTGCCACTGAGCTACATCCCAGCCCCAAAGCCTTGCTTTCTTTTCATTCCTTCCTTCTTTCCTTCCTTCCTTCCCCCCCCCCCTTTTCTTTCTTTCTTCCCAGTCCTGGGGCTTGAACTCAGGGTCTGGGGGCTATCCCTGAGCTTTTTTGCTCAAGGTTAGGGCTTTACCATTGAGCTACTGCTCATTTCAGGCTTCTTGGTAGTTAACCAAGACTTTCCTGCCTGGTCTCACCTCAAACCACAATCCTGAGACCTCAGCTTCCTAAGTAGTTAGGATTACAGGTGTGAGCCACTGGTGCCCAGAGTCAAGGGGTTTTGATCAACATCACCTCTTCCTTCCATCAATCTCCCTCATTTGGCTAGGCCCATTTTCTAGCGAGCTTTATATTCCCTGTGCTGTAACTTCCCTGAGATTATTAGATGCAATCTGGCATTTCAGCTTGACATATCTCTAGTCTTTACAACCTAAAGGTTGTCATCTTTTGCCATGTCACATCAGTGACCGTAGGTGAAGATTTGGAGGATTAAGTGCTTGAGGCTAGCCTGTACAAAGCTAGTGAGACTCCATCTCAGACCTAAAGCTCGGAATAGTTCACATCTGGAATCTCAGTACAGGATAGCCCAGGGAAAAAGCATGAGACCCACCTGAACAGTAACTAAAGCAAAAAGAGCTGGGGCATGGGTTAGGTGGTAGAGTACCTGCCTAGCAAACACTAGGCCCTGAGTTCAAACCCCAAAACCCGCCAGGCACTGGTGGCTCATGCCTGTAATCCTAGCTACTCAGGAGGCTGAGATCTGAGGACTGCAGTCCAAAGCCGGCCTGGGCAGGAAAGTCCATGAGGCTTTAATCTCCAATAAACCACCAGAAAACTGGAAGTGGCACTGTGGCTCAAGTGACAGAGTGCTAGCTTTGAGCTGAAGAGCTGAGAGACAGTGCCCAGGCCCAGAGTTCAAGCCCCACAACCAAAAACAAAGCAAAACAAAAACACACACACACAAACCCCAAACTACACCAAAAAACCTAGAATCCTCCAAAAAAAAACCCCACAATAACCAAAAACAAAACAAAACAAAAAAAAAAAAACCCACCCCTCAAACACTCAAAGTTTATGTACCCTCTTTCATCCTCTTCCATTATGGAACATTTCAGAGTAACTTGAATCCATGTTCCCGGGCCATGGGTCATTTCTATTTGGTTCAGAATAAGACATTTTCTTACACCCTTAAAAACAGAATTTTTAAGTATTTGTGGCTCACACCTGTAATCCTAGCTACTCAGGAGGCTGGGACCTGAGGATCGTGGTTCAAAGCCAACCTGGGCAGAAAGTCCATGAGAGGGGCTGGGAAGGTGGCTCAGTGGTAGAGCGCTTGCCTTGCATGCCTGAGGCCCTGGGTTCGATTCCTCAGCACCACATAAACAAAAAAAAAGTCAGAAGTGGCGCTGTGGCTCAAGTGGTAGAGCGCTAGCCTTGAGCTGAAGAGCTGAGGGACAGCGCCCAGGCCCAGAGTTCAGGCCCCATGACCGGACTCAAAAAAAAAAAAAAAAGAAAGTCCATGAGATTCTTATCTTCAATAAACTACTCAGAGCCAGAAGTGGTACTGTGGCTCAAGTGGTAGAGTGCTAGCCTTGAGCACAAAGAGGCTCAGGGGCACTGCTCAGGCCCTGAATTCAAGCCCGGGGATGAGGGGAAGCAGAGCTATTGTTTTATATTACAGGGTGCAAGCTCTTGGACACATGGATTCCAGGGCTTAAGCCTCTGCTATGCCAAATCTTGTCACTCTCAGTAAGGAAGTTTGCATCTTCATTCTCTGTACCACACAGCAGGCCTCAGATTGGCCCCAGAGATACAGTCATGGCAGAGGTAATGCCCTTCACATGGGGTCTCCTGGGAAGCCCTGCCTTAGGTCACTCAGAAGCCAAAGAAAAGATTGAACCAACTGGCAAACTTGCTGACACTCTTCACTCATCAGAACACCTTCCTCATACATCAAGCTGAGCAAAGACAAATCTGGAGTGTCCCAGAGGCTGGTGTCCCTCCCACTTTTGGTAGCTTAATAAGCACCTGATCCAGGAATTGGAGGCATAGCTTAAGTGGTAGGGTGCCAGCTATGAGCTAAAAAACCAAGCAAGAGTACAAGGCCTTTAGTTCAAGCCCTAGTACCAGCATGCACCTGCACAGGTGCATATACACGCATTCAGACATACCCACACCAGAAGAAGAGAGCAAGCATGCAAGCAAGCAAGCAAGCAAGAAATAAAGAGAAAAAGAAAAAGCAGCTGATCCTCCAGGTCTCTGCTGATATCAGGATTTATCAGAGGAGGGGGTTGGGCTCCTATTTTCTCACTGTTGTGCTATGCTTAGAAGTTTTCCTACAGGAACACTATGGACAGTAATGTGCACACAGTCTCTTCTCAGCCTCTCTGTGTCTGTGTCATGTTAGTCAGGATGTGTGATTTCAGTATACCACTTACAGTCAGGATGTCATAGTAGTCTTCATTTTCTTTGCACTGCTGGAAGATATATTCCACTCCTAGGAAAATGTCTCCCAAATTATAATCATCTCGAAAATCTGGCTGGGGAAATTCACCTGCTTTCAGATTCTATAAATGAGGAAACAGACTTGGAGGACACCATCTCAGCAACAGAAATCCAACCACAGGGCTAGGCTTGCTACCCCAGAGGACACTTGGTTCTCGGACCACAGTATGCTCAGACTACACTGCGTGCCCGAGACTGGGTGTTGGCCAGGGCTTGGGTGGAGTGGACACAAGGACTACACGTTTTTCCTTCATTAGACTGGATTTCTTAGATGTGAAACTATCAGGTTACAGCATACATTGAGTTCTGAACCCAACCTCACTTGATTGGCTTGACTGCTTGGCTAGTGCTCTACCATTTGAGCCACATCTCCATCCAGGTTTGTTCTCTCCCCACCCCCATGGAATCTCAAGGACTTTTTGGCCTGGGCTGGCTTTTGAACTGTGTTTGTACAGATTTTAGCCTCCTGAGTAGCTAGGCTACCAGCACCAAGGCTAGGAATGTGGCTTAGTGTAGTATGCTTGCCTAGCACGCAAGAGGCCCTGGTTCAATTCCACATAAAGAAAAAAATAATAAAATTATAAAATAAGCAAACTTAATGGGCTGAGATGTGGCTGAATGGTAGAGTGCTTGCCTAGCCTGCATGAAGCCCTGGGTTCGATTCCTTAGTACCACATAAACAGAAAGAGCTGGAAGTGGCGCTGTGGCTCAAGCAGAGTGCTAGCCTTGAGCAAAAGAGGCTCAGGGACAGTACCCAGGCCCTGAGTTCAAGCCCGAGGCCTGGCAAAAAAAAAAAAAAAAGCTACCAGTGCCTAGCCCATATGTAAGTTTTAAAGGCTCTCAAAGAGCTGTATATTGCCAAATTACTTTCCAAAAGGGTTGCTCCAAAGTTTTGGCTACTAGCAATGAGCAAAGCTTTATGCTATTCAATATAGATATCTATAACATATTTGTTTAAAATGTTTACCCTGGTTTCTTTCCAGTGTCACTCCATTGTCCCAATCCAAAAATATTCATTATTGAAGTCCCACATTCTACAGTTTCATGTAATTTTGAAAAATGTCAAAAACTAACCATATCTATCCTAAAATTGCTTGACCACACAAGAAAGCTTGATCAGAAGGAATATATATATTTTACCTCATGAAATGGAAAAGAAAGCACATCAGTTGGGATATCTTTCTTTCTGTAGATCCTATTAATATGCTGAATATTCTTGTTGTCAACACAGATGAGCCCCAGGTCAAACTTCCGCACTCCTAAAATACTCCTTACAATCTCCATCTTCCTTCGAAGTGGCGTTCTCCGAATGGGGATCACTCGCTGTAGGTTTCTAATCACCAAACTCATTTCAGGAAGAACACCCAGCACTTCCAAATGTTTGCAAGGAACCTATGGTTAAAATCAAGAGACTCATCAGTTCTACAAAGTGATAAATTCTGTAAAGACACACGTGCAGCCGGGCGCCAATGGCTCCCGCCTGTAATCCTAGCTACTCGGGAAGCTGAGATCTGAGGATCACGGTTCAAAAGCCAGGCTGGGCAGGAAAGTCCATGAGACTCTTATCTCCAATAAATCACCAGAAAACTGGAAGTGGTGCTGTGGCTCAAGCGGTAGAGTGGTCGCCTTGCGCTGAAGAGTTCAAGCCTAGGCCCAGAGTTCAAGCCCTGACACCGACAAAAGACACAGGTGCATTTACAACCAATCACTTTATTTGATGTAATCTGTTCAAATCTTTGAGGAATTCAAATTTAATATAGGAAGATATGAAACTGAAGGATATAAAAGGAAGAAATGGAGGCCCAAGCAAACCAGGACTGACCATGGCCATGAGGGTTAAGACTACAGTAGGAAGGAAAGGGGCCTTAATAGTAAGAGGTATGGCTGTGTGTGAGGGACAAGGAAGGGTGTGGAAGCAGAGTGTGTGGGGGGATGGAAGTGTAGGGATGTCACCAGAGACAGGTGAGGCTTGCTAAAGTTTCCCTTTAAATGTAGAACTCTTCACTTAGGGTCCTTGACTTTGATCACAGAATAAGAATTTCTGGACAGGGGCTGGGAAGGTGGCTCAGTGGTAGAGCGCTTGCCTTGCATGCCTGAGGCCCTGAGTTCCATTCCTCAGCACCACATAAGCAAAAAGAAAAAAGCCAGAAGTGGCGCTGTGGCTCCAGTGTTAGAGCGCTAGCCTTGAGCTGAAGAGCTGAGGGACAGCGCCCAGGCCCAGAGTTCAGGCCCATGACCAGACCTCCCCTCCCCCCCCCAAAAAAAAAGAATTTCTGGACAAGTCAGAATGGTAAGAAAACTTAGTAAAGCATCATTAAGTACACAAACAGATGGGCAGGGGCACTCTAACTGTGGGTGCTCTCACTGGGAGACAGACACACAGCTCATTGGCTGTTAGGGCATTTATATGGTAAAGGTAAGGGGTCTGGCTTCAAGGTTATGCAAAGCTGGATGTTTTATCTTGGCTCTAATCACTCCTGGTGTTACTTTCTGAGCTTCTGGATGTTTGGGAACATTTTTTTTTGGGGGGGGGTCTGGTCATGGGCCTGGGCGCTGTCCCTCAGCTCTTCAGCTCAAGGCTAGCGCTCTACCACTTGAGTCACAGCGCCACTTCTGGCTTTTTTTCTTTTTGCTTATGTGGTGTTGAGGAATCGAACCCAGGCCTCTGGAATGCAAGGCAAGCGCTTTACCACTGAGCCACCTTCCCAGCCCCATTTTTTTTTTAATCATGAAAATACTGTACAGAGGGGTTACAATTACATGGGCAAGATAATGAGTACATTTCTTATCAAGCATTGTAGCCTCCTCCTTTGTTTCCCCTT